AAGCAGGAGGCAGCGGCCAGCAGCCGCCCTGACCTCCCGGGCGCTGGCCCCGGTGCCTGTGCCTCAGCTCGGCTGCCCCTGTCATCACAGCGACAGTGGGGCCACAGCCCCGAGCTGCATCACGGGCTTCCCCTGCCCGGCTGCCCGTGTCCTGGGCTGTTGTGTGATGCACAGGTTCCCATGACACCGTTTCTGGGCAGGTCTCTGATCCAGGAGCGTCCGTTTGTGTCACCAGTGCCCTGGAGTCTCGGGGGTGTTCTCAGAAAAGGGGAGCTGCTTACGCTGGGGGAGCCTAGGCACCTGACCACTGTCTCAAGGGCGCTTTGAGAATCCAGCCTCCTTCCACTTACGGGCTCCCCACTTTTGACAGGGGGTCGCAGGGTCCCTGGGAGGAGGGGAAAGAGCAAGGAGGGTCATGCACAGGAGGCTTTTCCGGGCCGGTACTGCCACTGCTCAGTCACGTGGCCACACCTAATTGCAAGGGAATCTGGGAAATGACTCGCTACCCAGCAGATGGAGAAAATGAGTTTGGGGAAAGAGGTGACCCTAGGAGCACAGGGCATGTGCACAGACCCACGGGCACGTTCACGTGTCCGCAGGGGCACACCCACACTCCCACACCTGCGCACACGAGCTCAGGCTTACGTGCACACATGTCTGTTTAGGCTCAGATCCATCGAGGTTCATGTATGCACGTGATTAGAGACATGCCCAGGTGCCCGGAAGCAGGCCCTCAGAGCTGTTTGTTCCTGCACACGTGCACACAAGTACCTCCATCTCTGACCTTGAATCCACCAAGGTGCTTGCCGTGGCCGGGCGGGTATTTCTGGGTTGGGCAGGGCCCCGTCCTTCAGGTCACAGCACACGATCATGCAGGCCCCCTGCTGGAACAGGTGAGTGAGCGCTGAAGCTTCTCAGGCACCCTGTGTGCCCAGCTGCAGGTCCTGGGCCCGGAGGGTGGGGCTGTGCTCACGAGAGGACAGGCTGCCTCCGCCCAATGGTGCGGGAGATGCTGCTGGCACCCACAGGCAGTGGCCAGCCAGGGCTGCCTTCCTTCTCATTTGCATAAATTGCTCTTCGGACTCTGGCCTTGCCCTCAGCCTGGGCAGGGCACCTGGTGGCTGAGGCCTTAGCCAGCTGACGGCTGAGTTTCTGACATTCAGCCTCAGTTCCAGACTTTGGGGGTGGGCACATCCTGTTTGGAGGGAGTGGGATTCATGGGTAGATTCCCAGTCGGGCTCTTCTGTTCCCTAAAGGCAGCTGGGTGGTGGGGTGAGGGTGGGGGGAGGGGGCCTCCGCATGTGGACCTGTGGCAGGCTGGGGCTGGGGGAGGAGGTGCCCGGTGACGGCTGGTGGTCTCCTCGCCAGAAGGGAATCCTCCAGCAAGTGGGACTGGAATTCAGGTTCAGAGCAGGGGGGTGGCAGCCGTGGTAAGTGCACCTGCATTTCCCAAATGCTGCCCATAGGGGGGCTGCTGGCATCCTTACCAAACCGGGGCGCCCCGCCCAATGTGCGCCCTTGGTGTGTAGCTGCACCCAGGGTCTTTGTGAGTCTGCACCCAAGTTGGACTTTCGCAGTGAGGAGTCCCTGGGGACCCTCCTCTCCTCCTAGGTCCCGCTGGGAGGCTTGCCTGACGCTTCCTGCACCAGAGTGCAGCCCAGGAGAGCCCAGTGTCCACGCTGTGTGAGACTGGGCTGCCCCAGAGCCCAGGCCAGCTTCAGAGCTTCAGGGAAGGGAGGCGGCCTGGGGTCTGACAGCCGTTCTCTTGCTGAGGGTGAGGCGCAGGGGGAAGCGGTGTGGGGTTGGGATCGATGTGGAGGGTGGAGGTGGAGGTGACGGGGACAGTGTGGCCGGGGTTAGGAGGGAAGCAGTGAAGGCAGGACACTGGGTAGATGAAGGCCCAGGAGAGCAGGGGTGGGGGTGGTGCCAGGTGTGGAGGCCGGGAAGCAGACGGAGTTGAAGGGAAGGGGAAAGAGGTGCATGTGACCAGGCCTGGGGGGCTCTAGAGGCGGGGCGAGGCTGCTCAGGGGAACTGGGAGCCGGTGTGTCCTCAGGGCCTAAACCCCAAGAAGTTGGAGGAGATGGTTGTGGGGCCCAGGCCTGATGCCTCCGCATCCCTCGTCGAGATGGGGCTGAGAAAGAGGGCAGGGAGCCACGGCCTGTGTCCTGATCAAGTACTCCCAATCCTGTGCCCTGGGCCTGGCCAGCCTCAGTCCTCAAGTTTCCAGGAGCAACTGGTGTCCCAGTTCCAGGGCTAAATTGGGGACAGCTAGGGGTTGAGCAAGGCTCCTGCAGGCTGGCCTCGCAGTGCCTGCGGCCCGGGTGGGTGGGGGAAGGGGATCAGGACCAGCGGGCCTGGCCTGGGAGAGGGCCTTTCACCCGCCTCCAGCCGGCCTGGCTCAGAGGAGACGCGTGGGGACGTGTCTTCCCTTCCTGGGCCGGGGAGACAGACAGAGGCCTCGCCTCTCCTGGCAGTGAGCTCAAACCTGGGAGAGGAGGAGGTGTTTGGCGGGATTCGCACCCTGAGAGACCCCAGCAGGGGAGGTGTTCTGAACAGAAGGCAAAGGTCAGGAGGGGGCAGGTGGGGGGCCAGCGGTGAGGCCCCCAGATGTGTTCAGGGTCCATCCAGAGGGGGCCCCCCCATAACAGGCCAGGTGCTATGACTCGCAGGGCTGCCAGCTGAGAGCGGAGGTGGCCCCTTCCCCAGGGGCCAGGTGCTGGGCATGTACTGGGTCTGGGCTCAGGTGGGGAGGGAGGACAAATTATGTTCAGCTGTCGGCTGGAGGTGATTGGGAGCCAGGCCATGGCACCACCCTCATTGTATAACGAGGAAACGGAGGTCCAGAAAGAGAAGGAAACACGCCGGGGTCGCGCGGGAATTAACGGCAGAGCAGTCTGTGGCCTCCAGGTGCAGCCGCCTGGCAGGCTGCTACAGCGAGGGGATGAGCCAGGCCTCCCGGTCGCCTGTGCGGCTCGGCCCTCCTGGCCCCCCAGGCCGCAGAGGGACTGGATAGGCCGCTAGTCCACCCAGCCTGCCTTCCACCTAGGCCTTGGCATCCTCCATAAACGCCAGGTAGGACGGACCCAGCTCCACCATCATCTCTGTGCTTGGCTGCGTCTTTCCGTGTGGGCCAGGCGACCGGGGGCTTCCTAACCTGGGTGCAGGTGAGCCTCTGCTCAGGGGGGTTGGAGGTTGATGAGAAAAGCAGCCTGAGGTACTCAGCAAGACTTGGAGTTCAGTGGCAGGATCTCGGCTGCGGTTGGCTAGTGTGGCCAAGGATGGCTCTGCCAGGTTGCTGGAGCTGGTAGTCTGATCAGCGGAGGTGTGAGCAGCTGGCCTGGCTGCAGAGTGGCAGGCTGGCCTGGCAGCGGAGCCCTAGGGTGCTTCCTACAGGGGTGGAGAGCTCGTGGTGCCATCTGTGAGGAGCACGCCCGCCCGGCAGAGCCCAGGGAGGAGACTCAGATGGGGGCAGGGCTTGTGCTGCGCTGCCTGGGAGAGAGAGCACGTCCAGCCCCTCCAGCCTCCCTGAACCCGGCTCCAGCTCCCTTCTACCCAACACTAGCGGACTGCAGTGCTTTGGGTTGAGAGGGGGGCCTAATGGGCTGATGGGAGTTGTAGTTGTTGACCCAGGGGCTGGTGGGAAATGTGGTCCATACCCCTCCAAAAGCTGATGGGAGTTGTAGTTCTCACCCTTTGGGGCTGATGGGAATTGCAGTTTCTGCTCTGGGGTCCCGCCTCATTAGACCTAACGCCCCCAAAGCCCTCCCCAATGGTTCCCTTGGGCCCCCTATTAGCAAATGCTTCCTTCCCAGACGGCTGTGTATGTATTCTTTTTCTTTTTTTGCTTTCTTCTTCTTTCCGTTGTTTTATTATTGTTTTAACAATAATAAGAGGGCCAGCAGCAGTCAAGCTCTGGCCAGGTCCTGGAGGCCCATGGGGGTTTGGGGAGGGGGCGGGGGGAGTCAGTGGGGGTCAGAGGTGGAGGGTGAAGAAAGAGAAAGTCGGGAGTTAGGGAAAGCTCAGGAACCTGGTGTCCCTGCCCGCCCCCACCTCCCTGCCTCACCCTGGCTTCTCACCGCCCCTCCCAGAGTAAGGCCTATGGAACAAGACCCGCCCTGCCCACTCTTCCTCGTGGTCACCGCCCACCTTCAATTTCTCCTCCCCATGGCTCCCCTGCAGCTCACCACCCACCTCCTTCCATGGCATCCTCGCCCCTCCTCACACCGGGAGCAATCCCTGCACAGCCCCTCCGTGCCTCTCCCCAAACCCTCGTCCCCCCGCCCCCGCCCTCACGCTGACACCCTGACACCCTGACACGGTGAGGTAATGGTCCCTCAACAGCACCCCGCAGTCCAGCTCTGCTCCTGTGATGGGGAGAGGGCCGCAGTCAGGAGGAGAGAGTCTCGGAGGAGGTGCCCAGGGCGAGGAGAACGAGGGAGGGAGATGCGGAGCAGGCAGACAGGAAACGTGGTGCGGAAAAGTTGTTTTTTCTTATTTTTTTCGGGAGAACCCGCTTACACAGCTCTGTTTGTAATTTTTTTCTTCATGCTAAAATCACACGGCCTATTTGTTGATGTAAGTTGCCTGAATTCCGTGGTATGCTATCTTCTTTTTTAAAAACAAAAGAAAAAAAAAAACAAGCAAAAAAAGACATATCTAGAAAAAAAAGCCCTAAGAGTACTGTTGTTAGGCTTGTTTAAATGCTGCTCTTGTATGTTTTTAAAGTCGTAAGCCAGTAGAGTTTCTCTTTCCGTTTCTTTTCGATTTCCTTTCCTTTCTGTTCCTTTCGGTTCCTTAGACAAAGCCCAGGGAGCAGAGCCCGGGAGCCCGGGACCAGCGCTGCCGCTAGGGCGTGCGCGGCCGGCGGGCGGCGGGAAGCCCGCTGTAGTCCCCGCCGAGGCCAAGTGGGACGGTTGGGGGTGAGGCTGTGGTTCTCGCTCTGGGGCGCCCCGCGCCCCGGCCCGCGCTGACGCCGCCCTCTCTTCTCTCTCTGTTCTAGGAGGAGAGTTAATATTGCCCATTATCACGGAGGACTCCTTAGACCCCCCTCCCGTGGCCACCCGCTCCCCCTTCCTGCCCCCGCCCCCCACCTTCTACCCCTTCCTGCCGGGCGTGGGCGCCACGCAGGACACCCTGCCCCCGCCCGCCGCCCGCCGGCCGCCCGCGGGGGGCCCCTGCCAGGCCGAGCAGGAGGACAGCGACTGCGAGGAGCCCGGCGAGGCCTCGGGCTTCGCCTCCGGGGAGGTCTTTGACTCCAGCCTCCCCCCCACGGACGACGAGGACTTTTACACCACCTTCCCCCTGGCCACGGACCGCACCACCCTGCTGGCCCCCCGCAAGCCCGCCCCCCGGCCCAACCTCAGGACAGATGGGGCCACGGGCGCCCCCGGGGTGCTGCTGGCGCCCTCCGCCCCGGCCCCCAACCTGCCCGCGGGCAAGATGAACCACCGCGACCCGCTGCAGCCCCTGCAGGAGAACCCGCCCCCGGGGCCCGGGGCCGCCCCCTCCTCCGAGCCGCGGCGGCCCCCGCCCCCGCGCCCCGGCGTGACCGCGGCCCCCGGCTTCCCCCGTCTGCCCACAGCCGGCCCCACGGGCCCGGGGGAGCGCGGGCCGGGCGCCGTGGAGGTGATCCGCGAGTCCAGCAGCACCACGGGCATGGTGGTGGGCATCGTGGCGGCCGCGGCGCTCTGCATCCTCATCCTGCTCTACGCCATGTACAAGTACCGCAACCGCGACGAGGGCTCCTACCAGGTGGACCAGAGCCGCAACTACATCAGCAACTCGGCGCAGAGCAACGGCGCCGTGGTGAAGGAGAAGGCGCCCACCGCGCCCAAGGCGCCCGGCAAGGCCAAGAGGAACAAGGACAAGGAGTACTACGTCTGAGCCGCGCCCGCCCGCCCGCGGGTCCGGCCTGTCCGTCCGGGCGTCCCGGGGAGGGTGCGCCGCCCGCCCGGGCTCTGCCACCCACACCCGGCTGCCTCGGACTTCTCTCGTGAAGAGGAAACGCAAAAAAAGAAAAGAAAAAGAAAGCAAAGGAAAACCCCGTGCTCGCCCCTTTCCTCCTGCCGACCGTCCGACCGTCTGTCCGACCGACCGTCCAACCGTCCGGCGGCGCCGTCAGTCCGGCGGCTGCCCCCAGCGCTGCCCCGGGCCGGGCGCCTGCTCCAGCCCCGGGCTGATTTATTTTTTTAAGGGGTAGTTTTATTTTGTGGGGTTGGGCGGGAAGGAAGGCCGCGGGTTTTGTCCGGTTCATTTCCGCCGACTTTTCTTTCTCCCCCTCCGTCCCTGCCGCCTTCCTTCCCCCCCAAGCCCCCCCCACCCCCCAGGCTTACGGTGTCTCTCGGGCCCCCCTCCTTCCCATTGTGTGTGTGTGTCTGGTTTCTCCCTTTCCTCCCTTTGGGTTTCCAGAGTCGGTGGGAGAAGGGGGGAGGGTGGGCGAGTGGCCCAGCGAGGGAGTGGGGGGCGGGTGGGGCAGTGGGTGGCCCCAGCGCCGGGCTCCGTCCACCTGGGAGAGGTGCCTTCCCGGGCGGCCTGGGGAGGGGCTGGGCCGGGGCCTGGGAAGGCCTGCCCGTTGGGTGCCGCCGGGCGAGGTGCATTGTGGGGGAAGCTGCTGAAGGAGCAGGGTGGGGGGCGGGGGGAGGGAAGGCAAACGCAGATCTATATTAAAGACAAATACCCAATGTCCGAGCAGCAGCCTGGGCACCGGCAACAGGGGAGGGAGGAGGCACGGCCTCCCGCTGCCGGGGTCCCTGCCCGCCCATGGGCTCCCTGCTCCCCGGTTTTTTTCTCTTTGTTAACAAATGTGTCTAAGTCTTGGAAAACACCCCAACCCCGGAAATGTGTGGGAAAAGAAAACAAAAGCTTTCCAAACGCGAAGGTCCCGTGCCGTTTGTTCGGGGCGGGGCTGCTGGGGCCCGGCCTGGCCCAGAGCCTCGGCCGGCAGCTCCCAGACTTCGGGGCTGAGCATGGCGGCTCCGGGGGCAATTCCTCCTCATTGCTGCACGGCTGACAGGGCAGGAGCAGCCCGTTGGTCTCTGGCCCTGGTTGGGTCACCCTGTTCACCTTGGCTCCTCCCAGAGGGGACAGGGCCCCCGAGGCCGGTTTCTGGGTGGGGGGAGGGCCCTGGCTGCCCCTGGTCTCCAGGTGGGGAGTCAGGAGCCGGGCCACAGTTGCCCCCAGTCCTGCCTAACCCCAAGCCTGTTCCTTCCGCAGCCTGCGCGGTCGGGACCCTGTGCTCACTTCACCTCTGTGGTCCCCTCTGGCTGCCTGGGCAGCGCCTGGGCTGCGGGAGGAAGGAGACCCAGTGCTCCTCGCCCTCGGGGGCTTGCTCCTTCGTGGAGACACAGGCCCAGGCGAGCTGAGAGGCGCTGGGTGGGTGTTTTAGAGGGAGGAAGGCAGAGCGAAAGAGAGACAGTCACAGGCTGGTTCTCGCGTGTGCTGGGCCAGGAATAGAGCCACGCTCTAACCACCGGAGCCACCGGCCAGGCCTGTCTGGAAGCCCCTGGGTTGCGGGTGCGAGGTGGGGCGGTAGGTGAGTGGGTGTCGGCACCCTCAGGAGGGCAGGGTGCAGGGGGCGTGCACCCGTCTCCCTGGTGGAGGCGGAGGCGGCTGCCAGGCCCTGAGCAGGAAGGGGGCTCAGACGCTCCTGCTTCTGCTCAGGGATCGGTCCCCCTCCCCACCCTGCATGGCCCGCCATGCAGGTGCCATCACCCTGCATGGGTGCCATCACCCTGCATGGCCCGCCTCATCCTGTCTCCATCCCCCACAGCGTCTGCTTCTGCCCAGCTCGCTCCCATGCATGTGCCCGCGCACAAACCCAGTCCATGCTTCAGCTCAGACACCCCAGGCCCTCGGCTCCATCCCTGCTGGAGCCCCTCCCACCCTCCGTTCTGGGAGGCAGATTTGTCTTGGGACCCCCTCCCCCCGGGGTGTAGCCTCAGGTCCTGGAGTCCTCCCCAGAGGCCTAGGGGCTGGGTTTCCGTGGCCTGACCTCTCTGCCCCCCTAGCCAGCCGCTCCGGTGCCCTTTCCCTCGCTGCTCACAGTCGGAGCCTGAGGCCGGCATCCCCCAGGCCAGGGCTCGCCTGCGGGGAAGCTGGCGGAGGCCCTGGCTGGGCCGGCCGGCCCGGGCCCTCCATCGCCGCTCTGTCCAAGGTGCCCTGCCCCTGCCCCTCCCGCCAAAGAAAGACAGGCAGCAGGCAAGGAGGGAAGGAGCATCCTTACTTCAGAAATTCAGAACAGCCCTGACCGGCCGTCAGGAGCCGGGGCCAGAGGAGGCAGTGCAGGGCAGGGGGGCTGCAGGCCGAGGGCCCCTCTGCACAGGGAGGCAGGAGCTCCTGGCTGGGCGGGGGGCGGGGGGGGGGGCCTCAAAGGCTCGGCGGTGCGAGGAGAAGCTCCTGGACCTGCCGTTGACTCGGTTTACCCATCGGTAAGAGATGGTCCCTGCGGCCTCCCCGCCTTTGTCTGGGGCTCCTGGCGCTGACCTCGGCCCTGGGCCTGGCGGGGCCTCGGGGTCTGGCTGGCCCGGGGGTGGCAGTTCAGGCACGTCGCTCATGCAGTTAGTACTTGGGGCGGAGTCAGGAGAGTCCACCTTGGGGGGAACAGGACAGGCCTGGGAGGGAGCTAGCAGAGACGTCTGCCTGAAGCCTTGGACCCGGAGGACCTGCCTGCAAGCCCCCGGGGGAGGGAGCGCAGCTGGGCCGGCCGTGCTGGGCTCCTGGGGGGACGTCCCCCGGAGGTGGACATGGAGCCGGGGCGCCCCAGGAAGGCCTGCCATTCGGGGGGCTGCGCCGGGCCGCGGTGCAGGCCTGTGGCTGCTGCCGAGGCGCACCGTCTCCCTCCGCGACGTGCCCGGTGACGGCACCCCCTGGTGGTGGAGGGGCCGGGCCCTGGCTGAGGACTGCGGCCGCCGGGAAGGACGGCAGCGAGGCCCTCAGGACCCTGCGGGGACCTCGCCGGTTCGGAGGGGAGGCCCCGCCCGCCGCCCGCGGCCCCTCCTGGCTGAGGTCACGGGCACCTGCTTCCCGGAGCCTGAGCTTCCCCTCTGGGATCCGGCAGAGCCCACCTCGAAGGCCCCGGGGAAAGATGGACGGAGAGGTGCCCGCCTGGTGCCCGGCCCATAACGGTGGCAGAGGGCAGCTGCTCAGGGGCCCGCGGGGCGGGAAGGCAGCCTGGAAAAGGGCCCCCAGCCAGGAGCCCCACCCGGCAGACCGGGGGCCCATCGCCGAGTCCTGAGGGCCAGTCCTTGTTCCTTTATTCGCTCTCGTCTCCCCCGGCTGTGTCTGCCGCCGGCTCTGAGTGGGCCCCCGGGGACTCGCAGGCTGGGGGTGGGAGTCGGGGGTGGAGGGGCTGTGGGTACGGGTTCCACGGACCCGGGGCTGGGCCTGGGCCTGGAATGAGGACACGGCCTGGGTCTGGGAGGCCGTGGCGTGTGGAGAGGTGGCGGGGGGGGGGGGGCGGGTCAGGAGGAGACGTGGCCGCCAGGCGGGCCTGGCTGTGTGGCCGAGTGTGCAGAGGAGGGGCCAGGAGCCAGCACGCCGTCCCTGGGAGCCCTCAGGCGGAGAAGCCGGGCGGCTTTGACCACGGGTGCCGACCCGCCTCGGAGCGCTGAGCCCGCTGAGCCCGGGCGGAGGGCCGCTGGGACCGCAGGCGGCCGTCCCCGGCCCGGCCTGGCTCCTCTGCACCCGCGAGTGGAGTTAGTGGCCTCCTGTCAGTCACGCTGGCCGTTGCCGTTCTGTGTTGGAGGCGGCTCCTCGGTGAGAGCAGGGCTGGCCGGGGGCCGGCCCCCGGGAGTCCCGGCCTCCGGCTCCTGCCGTCAGCGGAGGACGGCAGCTCCCCTGGCCCTCGCCGGCGCTCAGGAGCCTACAGCTGCGTGGACTTCAGGACAGACGGCCCCCGGGCACCCTGCGTGGCCTTCTTCACCGACCTGTCCGGGAGGCGGAGGAGTTGTGTCTTGAAGGTGCAGTGACCCCTGACCTCTGACCTGTGTCCATCCTGAGGATTCAGCCGATCCTGCTGCTGTCAGGGCCCAGGTGCAGGGCGATGGGCAGTGACCAGCATCTCGGGGCTATGGGGGCAGAGTCCGGGGCCGGGGAAGACCCCACAATGGCCATCCTGCCCTCGGCCGCACCCCTCGCCCTGATGCTCTCCGGGTGGAGCTGGGGCGGCTGGGCCACAGAACGAACAGGGCACACGACCCTCACTGTCAGCCGGGAGACCCAGCCCTCGGCCTCCGTCCCTCGCAGACGCGCTGTGTGACTCCCGGCCGATCCGTCCCTCTCTGGGCCTCTGCTTCTCCTCCGTCCAGGGAGGGGTGGTGGCCAGGCCCCCCTCCCGGGTTCCGGGTTTACTCACTGGTTCTGCACATCCTGGATGGTGTCGGGCAGCGGAAGGTTCTGGGTCTCGGGCAGCAGCAGTGCGGCCAGGCCGCTCAGCACGGGCACCGCCCCGTACACCAGCAGGGGCAGGGAGGGGTGGTAGACGCCCAGGAGCCGGACCAGAGGCCCCAGGATGGCTCCCCCTCGGGCTGACATCTGGCCCAGGCCCACCGCGGTCATCCTGTGGGCACAGTGGCCGGTGAGGAGCACGGCCTGGCCCTGCTCTGCCCGGGAGGGGACCCCACGGGAGAGACACACAAGGCTGAGCCCGGGCCTGGCCCCCCCCCGCCCCCCCCCGCCCAGGCCGCCCCCGGGGGCCGGCCGCCCTCACCTGAGCACGGTCGGGAAGAGCTCCCCCGTGTAGACGGAGACGCAGGTGAAGGCCACCCCGAGCCAGCCGAGCCCCAGCAGGGCCAGGGCCGAGCGCAGGGGCCTCATGTCTGTGGTGGAGACAGGACGGCAGGGCCAGCGTCAGCTGGAGGCGCTCTCCCTGACCTCCCCATGTCTGCCCCTCCGCTGGGGTGTCCCAGACCCCACACATGCACGTGGCCTAAGTGACCTCATAGCCACCCTCTCTAATCCCCCCGTCTGTTTCCCACCCAGACGCCCAGAGCCAGACCCAGGGGTCCTCCTGCCCCCCTTTCCCTGCCCCCGGCCCCACAACTCATCGCCGAGTCCTTACCCATCTCCACAGTTTCCACAGTGTCGCCCGCCCCTCCATCCCTGCTCCCCTGCCCGGTCAGGCCCCGCCCTCCCCGGCCGCCGCCTCCCCAGCGGGCGGTCTGGCCCAGCGCCCTCCGCGGAGGGGCCGGGTCTGCTCCCGGCGCAGGCCGCCTCCGGGGCCCGGCCGCAGCGCGCCAGGCGGCTCACCGCGCGGCACCAGCGCGTTGGCCAGGATGCAGAGCCCGGCCAGCGCCAGCGAGGCGGCCTGCGTGGGGCGGCGGCCCAGGCGGCCCAGCAGCAGCAGGGTGCCCAGCTTGGCCGCCGTGTCCACGGCTCCCATGAGGACCTGCAGCAGGAAGACGTCACTGCCCAGGGCCTGCAGGTCCAGGGCCAGGCCGAAGAAGGTGAAGCCGAAGGCGAACCTGGGGGCGGGCGGGGCGTCAGGCTGAGGGGGGCCGTCCAGGGCTTAGTTCTCAGGCCCCTTCCACCCGCGTGGCCTCGATGGCAGAGGGTGTCTCCGAGACCGCCTTTCCCGGGCCCTGCCAGTGCGGCCTCCTTAGGGTTGGCCAATGGGAGGCACCAGTGGGGCTGGAGGCGGGGCCGGGGAGAAGCTGGAGGCAGGGAGAAGCTGGAGGCGGGGCCGGGGAGAAGCTGGAGGCAGGGAGAAGCTGGAGGCGGGGCCGGGGAGAAGCTGGAGGCAGGGAGAAGCTGGAGGCGGGGCCGGGGAGAAGCAGGGGGCTCCTCCCCCCCTTGCCCTGGGTGCCCTGGGTGCCCTGTGCCCTCCAGGGCTCTGTCGTCCCTGAGCAGGCTGGCGCTGAGGCCTCTTTGCTGGGTGCCCTGGCTCCCAGGCTCTGAAAAGACCCCCCCGCCTCCTGGTCCCTCCACACTAAGGGTGTGCTTTCTGGTGCTGAGTTCTGACTCCTCAGAGCCTTCATGATGAATCCTCCTGTTCCTCTCTTCTCGCACTCAGCTGCCTGAGCCGCCCGCCTGGCCACTCCCCGGGTGGAGGCGCAGGGCGGAGGCCTGTGCCCGAGCACCCGCCCTCCCCCCTCCCCCCTCCCCCTCCCCCGGAGCAGTGGGACCAGCCCGAGAGCCCCCAGAGGCCCTCGGGACCCAGCAGAGCCTGACGGGCCGGGGCCGGGGGCGCGGCGGGGGCGGGGCGGCCGGGGGGAGGGGCGTCTACCAGCACAGCATGGACACGGCCGTCCGGAGGCCCAGCCTGGCCGTGCAGAGGCTGCCCAGGCCGGCGGGCGCCCGGCTCGCACGCAGCTCCTCCTGCATGGCGGACAGCACCACCTGCGGGCAGGGGCAGTGTCAGCGCCGGCCGCTCCAGCCGCCCAGACCCTATCCCGGGCCCCCCCGCGAAGGCCCTGTGCGGGCAGGGCGAGGCCTGCGGGCGAGGCCTCACCTCCATGGTCAGCGCGTCCCCCGCGGCCCTCCTGCCGTTGATGGCGGCCGCCCGCTGCAGCTCCCGCAGGCCCTGCTCCAGCCGGCCGGCGATGAGCAGCCAGCGCGCCGACTCCGCCAGCCACCTGGGGGGGGCACTGCCTGTGGGTGCCCGGGGCCCGGCCTCCACAGCCTCCTGACCCTGTCGCCCCTCTGCCCCACGGGGTGGCCTCACTGTGTCCACAGGCCCTGGACTCGGGGGTGATGCCCGGGCAGCAGTGATGGCGCTGACATGTGGCAGCCGCCCTCCTTCCCAGCAGGCCCTCCTTCCTCCTCCCCCTCCTCCCTCCTCCCCCTCCTCCCTCCTCCCTCCTCCCTCCTCCCCCCTCCTCCTCCTCCCCCCTCCTCCCTCCTCCCCCCTCCTCCCTCCTCCCCCCTCCTCCCTCCTCCCTCCTCCTTCCTCCTCCCTCCTCCTCCCTCCTCCCCCCTCCTCCCTCCTCCCTCCTCCCTCCTTTTCCCTCCTCCCTCCTTCCTCCTCCCTCCTCTTCCCTCCTTCTCCCTCCTCCCTTCTCCGTCCTCCTCCCTCCGCTGGGTTGAGGTGGGGGTCCCTGTTCTCCCCTTCCTGCCTCCCTCCCGACGCCATGGGCCTTCCCTTGCCTCACCTGGGAGCCGGGCCTGGGCCCGGATGCACACCCGCCTGCATGGCTGCACCTCCTGCCTGAGCCGACCACGCCCCCCACCCCAACCTGCACCCAGCTTCCCGCTTGCCCCGGGGTCAGGCTGGAGAAGGGTCTTTGGTCCCACATCCCCCCTTCACCAGGTATCAACAGTTCTCAGCACCCCGGGGCGGAGGGGGAGGGGGAGGGGAGGGCGGCGGCGGGCGGGGGCACCCACCAGGAGTACACGAAGCAGAGG